TCCAAACCTAGAATACTCTCCTTTCTTATGATAAGTAAATAAATAAATCCCCCAAAAACGCAAAAGGAAGCAGTTCACTTAATTTACAGTAAACACCCAGAAAGCTTGGCTTGAGATTAAGAGTATGCACTACCTCCATTTTAAAATACAGATTAGGAACCAGAATGCGATTCATGCACCTGTTCTAACAGAATATTTGACTCAATACTAAGTGCTGACTTTCCTATACATCATCCTGGAGGTACAGTGGAAACATTCAACCACATAACAAATACAGAACCACCTGACTTAAATACACAGCCACACATTCTTTCTGGTTCCACTCACCTTTCTATACATAGCTATGAATCATAAGCCTCAAATTCTGGCTTTCAGCACTTCCATTTTCCCCTTATGTACTATTTCTTTGTTGTCATACTCACTGCCTCTAACGATCTTGCTTTTCCACCAGGTGCATTGTATTCAAGAAAATTCACCATAGATGGGGAACAGATCTCCCTACAGGTGCAGGATACTCCCTTTGTTTCACTGGAGGTAAAACATCTGCTCAGTGCATCAGTACTTTACAACACAGTTACTGTCTCTTGTTTGTTGCCAGCACGTTAATCTGTAAATAACTCAGCTTTCCAGAAGAAATACACCTGGGCTCAAACCCAAATGAATTCTTACAGGTGTACCTTAAACCCCATCAAAATGAGCCCCTGCAGAGGTTAAATCAGGTTTCTTTAAGAGCAAATCAGAATTAACACAAATCTGTGAGGGCATAGGTCTCACAGAAGTGGCTATTTCAGCTAGAGTGCTTTTCAATGCTTTCCTTCCTTGTTTTTTATTGTATTTATTTTTTATTTCTCAGCTGTTGGCATTTACATACTTTCCTATTTCTACTGGTATTTGAGATATTCTAGATTTAGCGTTTGACTGGGAGCCAAACAGAATCTAGAATTAAGATGTCTTTCTCAAAAGAGCAGTTTTACTTGCAGAACAAGATGATGAAAATGATGTCAGAAGAGCGGGAATGGAATGAAGTTTATTTTTATGTGACAGGTGAAAATCTCAGGGGAGTAATAACTTCTATTAAAAAAAAGCTGAGATTTCATGGTGAAATTAGGTATCCTCTTGTTGCCCCCAAATCTAACCTTCTGAAAAGCCATTCCTGAAGTCTTCCAACTATTCTGGTGGGACTTCAGAGAACAAAGACCCTATGCCAGTTTGTACAGAGAAGACACTGCAAGGAGAACCTGGTGGTGGTTCGGCACGACGGGGAATGCCCAACAATGGTAGCAAAGGGAGACCCCTCCCTGCTCTATCCCTTGAAGAAAGGAGGGAGTGAAGCGATTTAACTCCTTTCACAACGGATACAAGTTTATTTTCTTATTTCCCCGTTTTAATTAAAACTGCCTGAGAATTTAGAGACTGTAACCAGAGCTCTATAAAATGCAGTAACACCAACAGCTGAGGTTTCCTAGTCAGAAAGTATTTTAATTTAGTTAGGAAAGAGTTTCATTTTCTTTGTTCCATTCAAAGGTCTGCACTGCTTCAACAATTCCCACAGACACACTTATCTTAGCCTGGATCTCTGCTGGCATCAATCAGTGTATCTGAAAGCATTTTAAAGGACTGCTTCTGACCAGAACTTACTAAAAGTGAGAATAGATTGGACTTGCTGGTAAAATCCTTAAGAAAGACTGCTGTGTGCAGGCATTTCAGGAGGAAGTCATGTAGAATCCTCAGGACTGCAGCCACACTGGAAATGTTCATGTTTAAGAGAGAAACAGAAGCAAAGAGATAACTGGTTTTGTTAGGTGATTCATTGCTGATGGCCTACACATGGCAAATCACTAGGCGTTTCAAAATTTGTTCTGGAGCAGAGATTTCCATTTAAAAACGGCCCATTAGTCTTTGATTTTCCCCAGTAAAGCATTCCAGTGGGGATTATCCATCCATCTCACTACTGGGTGGGCCTAGCTGGAGTAACTGAGTTTCTGCTCATTAGGGTTCCCTTCAAAAGTGCACCTTCTCCAAAAGCATTTTCAAGCTTGCCAGAGCAATTAGTTCTTTCTCCTCATAAAAGGAGTTTGCTGATGAAAAGAGGCAAGCAGGATGTGAAGGGTGGCTAATTATCTACAGATTGGACACAACCCAGACACCAACAGTGCAAATTGCCCTTCTTCCCACAGTCTGCCCCATCATGGCTTGAATTTGCTCTCATTTGCCTTTGAAGCAGGGCTGCTACGAGGCTCCCTCTTCCTTCTGTATGCAGCCCTGGTTGGGTTTTTTTTGTTTTGCTGTTTCTCGGATGGGGAGCACAGAGAGGAGGGTGATTAGAGCATCTGTTAAGCAATTTCACTGCTAGTAAAACACATCTAAGATTTAGCTTTGTATTACTGTAAGCTGGCAAGAGCAAAAAATTACTGAGTGTGATGAGCCAGTGACTGTATTGGCCACAGTGCAATATGAAAAGGGCAGTTAGTTCGCAGAACTGCTGCTGAAAGCTGTAAGCCTAATTTGTAACCTGAGCCTTCAGAAATTCTGCTTCCTCCTTCCCACAGGAGAGTTTTGACTGTAGTCCTTCTTCCAGTTGCCTGATGTGCCATAAAGAATGAATCAGTTTTGCCCATGCTTTTCCTCCTTTCCTTCCTGAACTTAGGCTTTATAATTCATGTTTAGATGTCTAAATAAAAGCAACACAGTTTGGGAGGTTGCTGGGTGCACACAAATCCTGTTGAAACATATGGGAATGGCAGATATGTGCTGTGTAGACAGATATTCGAGCATACATTCTAATACTTCAAATTTCCATGACTGATAATGAACAGTGATTACATTTTTACCACACACATTTTTTATTCTTTCTTATGATAAACTAGGTTTCTGCCATAAGACCTCTGAACACTTTTGCAGGTGTTCTATGCCTTTGGAATGAACTCATACATGTACAACATAACAATTTATGAATGATGTTGAAGTATCTGAAATGTTGCCTGTGTTAGTTTAGGAAGATAAGATGTGACATGTTATGCCGGATCTATCCTCCCCAGCCAATCAGCTGAATTGCTTATTGTGCTAATTACGTCGATTTAAAATGCCTCCCCTAAGTCTTACTGAAGTTGATGATGTGTTGAATGGAATTTAGCAATCATAGAAGCAAAAAAATTGGGCTCTATTTGTGATGTTGAACTCCCACTAAAGAACACAGAGGAACCTCTTATTCCCTACAACTTCAACAAGGGCTGAATATGTTCAGTGCCTTGTTGGGTATGGAAGAAAATGCAAGGTTCCAAAAAGCCTGGATTATTGACAGGAATGTCCGTTCTTATCAAACGAAGCTTACTGGTAGTAACTGCAGCACTGATCTCCCTGTCTAGTTGGGAAACATGCCAGCAGGGATAACAAAAAAGAGAGGGGTAGCTGAAAATAGCCTCATCTTGAAAAGTAAGCAGATCTCTTTTCAAGCTCCATGGTATTGTGGTATTGTATTCTGTTTTATACTCTCCACACTGGTGCCTATTATGACTGTATGAGTAGGAGCTGTGCTGGGCAGAACAAACGTGTGACCAGCAATGCACTAACATAAGCCCACTGCAGCTACACAAACGACCAATGAGATTTCACCTCATTTTCAGTTCCAGTAATTGGTTATTTGCAACAAATTGCTTTTTCAAAGTAATCTTGCTTCTCACTATTGGAAGAAATGTATGGCAGTAAAACCTGTCAAGCTTCACTTAATAGAGTTAGTGAGAATCCCTGTCCATGGAGACACAGAATACAGAATTGGAAAGAGCCATAAAACGCAGCTTGGGGACCGCCATTCACTTGCAGCAGTGTGAATAGCCTGCTGAGATTTTTTAATGCTTCCATTCACCATTTTACCCACACCGAAAGGTCAGGTTACTGTCACTGTTGTAAGGATTCACCAGATGAGAATACAAAATGAACTTGTTAGTATCAGCACTAGGTTGTTCTCTTATTTTCAACACGGCGGCTTTGATCCCTCTCCATTTTTCTGCTGCTTTAACGTGCTACTGACACAGATGGAACTTTCTCCTGTCCCCAGTGCATGCCCAACAATCAGAGAGGTTTCTGCCTTGTGCTGAGCAACAGCCACACACTAAAACCCCGCCCTGAGCAGCCAGCGCTGCTGTATGACTGCTCCATCTGCTCCCTATTCTCAGTTTTCTAATCTCATTCCTCTTGGTTTTGACGGCAGGATGACACTGACAGCATCTGCTGCCAGGAGCAGATCAACCGCTCGATCTACTGGGCAGATGGCTTCGTTTTCGTTTACTCCATCACAGAATACGAGAGCTACCGCGTCATCCGGCCCCTGTACCAGCACATCCGCAAGATTCACCCCAACGCTAACATCCCCCTGCTTCTGATGGCAAACAAAGGAGACCTTCTGCGAGCCAGGCAGGTGTCCTCCAAAGAAGGACTCCAGCTGGCCAGCGAACTGGGAGGTACTTACTATGAAGTCTCAGCGCGGGAGAACTGCGAGGGCGTGCACGAAGCCTTCCAGCAGCTTTGCCAGGAGGTCAGCAGGATGATTGGCAGCTGCAATGGAGAGAAACGAAGAGGCCTCCACCTTGTCCGACCCAAGTCTCCAAATATGCAGGACTTAAAGAGACGTTTGAAACAGGCTCTGACTTCCAAAGGGAAATCTGCCACTACGCTTTGATGTAGCTGATAAAAATAGTTTTCCACACCCCTGGACAAAAGGCAAGCAAATAAACTGGTGTTTAAGGGAATCTCCAAAATACAGTATTTGGGTTGTGTGAGAGGTCCCTTCATTCTCTCTGTATACCTTCCTTAAAAATTCCATGTTTGTTCATCAGAGGAATTCATAGAAGGTTCTCCTGTGGCAAGAATGTAGAAACTGATTTAAGGTATAGATTGTCCCAAATTATTTCTTTCCCAAAAGGAATGCAGTCAAATAGTTTAGGCATAAAATGTAGATTTTATTAATAAAATAAATAAATCTTACTGATTTATTTAGAGGAGTGGCTTCTCTTGGGAACAGCTGTATTCTTGAGTGTGGGCAATAAGATACAGCAAGGCACCAGGAGAGTGACATGAGCTATACTGAGCAAGCAAAACCAAATTTGCTTAGTCACAAGACTGGAAAATAAAGACAAAAAGTAAATGAAAAGCATAAGTAGTAAAAAGTAATAATTTAACAAATATAATTAATTCAAATCTAGAACACTTAGAAGGTATTCTTAGCAACATGGGGAGAGATTTGCAAGCTTCTATAAGATATAAGCTTTTATAAGATTTTTTAGAACTGTAACAATTTATTTCAGATTATTTTTCTTTAAACGCATACCATTTCTGAAAGGGATTCTGTGGGCACAGTACTTACTTAGCACCATTTGTAGACAGATTCTCAGTGGTCTACTTCTCATTTTTGTGTAAGTTTCCTATGTGGTAATGTGGAACAAATAGAGCAGCGTGACTATAAAACCTGCAGAGAGCAAATGGGCAGTATTAACCAAGAGCAAGGATGGGATCTGAAACGATATAACCTTTTTTCTAAACAAATTAGATGTCATGCTCAAGATGATCTTTTAAAGAAACAAGGCCTTTACTCAAAGTATATTTGATTCATTACAATTTCTTGGAATTATTTTTCAGCAGAAAGGGTTTTGTGATGCCTGAAACACCTGGCTTCAGGAATTTATCATTTTGTTATTTGCCTTCAAACCAGGTTTTACTCGATCCCTTGCAATGCATCCAAATCACCAGTCTGTCGATAGAGATCTCACTGGCAGTTTCTCACTGCAGTTGTTCTCTCTGTGTGCCAAGGGCTTTGAAGCTGCATCCTGTGAGCTGGCCAACTTTAGGGTCGCAATAACAACAGTATGAGGCACCCATCATTCTGTTCCTAATGGGAATGGAAAGAAACTGGGTTGGATCATGCAGAAGTTGTGGTACAACGACCTTTTCTTTAAACATGCCACCCAAGCACTTCACAGGATCATGGAATGGATTAAAACTCAATGATTTACACTGAGGAACACAGGTGGGGAAATCCTAGTTCCATGGATGTGGAAAAACACTCCCAGCTGCAGCAGTACTGAGCTAACTCAACATTTTACTCATGAACAGCAAAAATGCAAATTGAGTCTGATGAGTACCCATACAGCTCAGGGCTTGAAATTCTGTTTTATGTTTATTTGCCCCACTGTTGGACAACTCTGCTCATTATTTTCTTCATCACTTGGATTTGCTTTACCTACAGCTCACCTTCTGGTTTGTTTATTGTTCTCCACGGCCAGCATTCTGAGACATTCTGATTAATTTGAAGCTCTTCTATACACACAAAGCTGTGCTTTTTTTTGTTTGTTTGTTTTTAGTGAGCTTCAATTGGTAGTAGAGAGTGAAACAGAAAGTTGGATCAACCAAACAGGGACTCAAGCAATATTAAGGGATTTGTACTTAGCTAATGGTTTCTTAACAGCTTAACAGTCTAGCTGGGCCATTGTCCTCTTGGCATTTTGGAACTGCATTTTTTAGCATGAGATTTCAGTCTTCCAAAGTACTAACAGCATAGTTCAAATAGCAAATCTTTAACATGAAAATGAGCAAAGAGATTGTGAGAGACAAGCAAGCTGAACATTGTTTGCATCAGAATAGTGATTGCCAGTTTTGAAAAGCAACCACATATCTTACCATTCCGGTACTGTATAGTTAGGGCTCAATTTACTGAAGACAGCTTGCTGAAATTTGTTTTCATAAAAGCCTTAGGGAATTAGGTCCTCTATCTCATTAAATTTGCTGGTAACTCGCTCTTTCGGTTCTGATCCTTCATTTGGGAAGAGAGTTCAACACGTTTCAAAACTGCTAATGTTTTCTTTTCGGTAGCGACTAATAAAATCAGACAAGGCCTTTCCTGAGCAGTATATAAAATGTACATCTCATATCTTTAAATGTTCTTTGTTTATATTAGGTAAAAATATTTTTTTTTCCTAACACCCTGCTTTGGAAGTACACGCAAGCTCTCCTATGTTTGCACTCCTACATATGTATTCCTGCATTCCCGTGGCTCTGGTGGGGGAAAAAAACATCCATGTTTTAGCTAAGGCCAAAAAATATTGAAATATTTAAGTCTTCTCCTAAATATTAACATGTGGCTAGCATTTATTCTGCCACAGAAACTTGAGTACAGCATTTCCTTCGTTCATTAATCGGCAATACAAACCTGGCAGTAGCTTTGATACTGGATTTAAGCCAGGACTTACCATCTACAGGGGATGATCAGCATTTTTATCCACAGCACAGTACTGAAACATCAGAGCACAATGCTGTGCCACTGATGCTCAGCAAGGCTGAGGAAGGAGAGCAGTAGCATGAAAAGTATAGAGAAGAGAACAATACAGAATTCAGTGCCTAAAAATGACCATGTAAAATATCAAAGATTAGCCACTGAGCCTCTTCGGGCTGCCAAAGGGAAATATACACTCTATTGGAGCTTTGAAATGAAATTTCTAGAGAGAAGGTACTTGATGAAAAGTCAAGGGAGAACGTGAGAAAGCAATCTGAGGGGAGGTGGTGGAGTTTGTGGTTTTGGCTGGGAGCAGGGGGTGGGGGTTTGAGAGATTCTGGTTATCAAGAAAATTCTCAGTTATTCTGCTTAAATCCAAATCAAACCCATTGGAAGCAATGTGCTACAGAATTAACTTTTTTTCCCCCTCCCCACATACCTCTTCATTTTCCTGAATGATTGAAACCTTGTGCACCATCTGGTTTCTAAGACGCCTTGCAGCTGGGTTCACTTGGGCACAACGCAGTTGAGTGATCTGCCCCCAGGTTACACAGCTGCGCCGAAGTGCTTCCGCTGAGCTCAAAACCAGAGTCCTTTGTAACATCAATTCCCAACACTTCCCAACAGCTACCAGGCTGTACTGCCTCCCTCAAGGATGCACAAAGCACTGTGAGTAGCGCTACATGAGACTGTAACTAAAAGTTGGAAAAAGTCACTTGAATGACAGACTGTGCTAAGAACGCACTGAGTGAAGCATTTCTGACATCCTGAGCATTGCAGTAGCAGCGAGACTGGCCTGTGAGTCACTGAAGATATTAGTAAATGATCATTTAAAAGATGACTTATAAGGAAAGCCAGCCCCCTTCTGATTTGCTTAGTCAGGATATTTACACATCAGTTGTCTGCATTTTCAGTAGAGATAGCTTACATCTTAACATCTCAGGTTGTTGTGATCCCAGTTTTACATTTGAAAAGCAGGAGGAAAATGGAAAATTCAGACCTCAATTTCAAGAAATGGCTCAGACAGAAATGTTGGTGCCCTGGGTGCCCGCTTTGCGCAGGCTCTGTGTCAGGTGTCCAGCTGAAGGAGCACCTTCCTGTGGCGCAGAAAGAAATGTTGCACCAGAGAACCACTGGTTTCAAATGGCAAACTGGAAGACCGCCAGCTCATTGTGATGGTGGGGTTTCCCTGTGCCAAGCTGGAAGGCTTTGGGTCAAATCACTCTGAAGTCTGCAGAGGCAGTGTGTGACTCTGAGGTGACAGAACATGATGACATATTTGCTAGTCTCTAGTTGTTCATGTAATTTCCAAGACCTCTCATGCGCTGACGTTGTCTCTTTTGGGACTAGCACAGGAAGGGCATGCAATCAAGTTAAAAAGATCTCTAGAGCCATTCTAAAAACCTCAAAAGCAGAGACAATGGTCCTAGAAAATGCTGTCCCATCGATCACCTCTGGAGACAAAGCAGGACTCCTCCTTGGATACTTTCTCACCCTCCTCCTCTTGGCTCTCCCTTCCTTGTCCCTCTCCATTCGCGCCTCTGTGCTGGTTTAGTTTGGCAAGGAATACCTCTGCAATCACTCTTCCTTAGGCTTAAAAGAATAATTTTGGTGTTTAGTGTATGATATATTCCAAATATTTTAACTGCAGACATGGTTTATATCAAAACAAGAGTGCCTGCTTAGCCTTTTGAACTTCTTTACCTAAATCATTTTAAATCACACTTAAATCAAGTCAGAAGAACTCTGCATTTAGGCAAACCTTTGAATTCATGCCATTTCTCCCCAGATGCTCTCACTGGCTTCGCCCAGTATCTTCCTCCCCTGTAAGCTCATTTATGTTGCTTAGTCACTGCTTACTTAAACCTGTTTAATTCATGTAAAGTTTTGCTGCTCTTCTCTGAAATCTCTCCAGTTTAATCAAGCAAGTTCTGTTCTCTAGGCAGCTGTGCAAGCTGTGGATGAGTTCAGAACAGCTGGTTCTTTCTGCTCTGTCAGATTTTTGCCCATTATTGAAGATTTTGGAATAAGCAGGAGCACGGATGGAGATTCATCAGACCAACTTTGAGTCTCCTTTCGTTTGTCAGCTTCCTTTGGTGGCAGTAATAATATCCATCACAAGACGGACCAAGTTTGTTCTAAATGACAGTGTTTCAGTTCAATTCCTAGAGAGGGAAAAATGCCAAATATGAAGCGGATAGATGAGTTGATAGGCTCTGTAAACCCTGAGATCTGATCCATTCAGGAGCTGTCACACCAATCCTCTTTTCCTTAGAAGATACATTTCTTAGATTTTCCATTTTATCCAAATGGGTTTCAAGACAGCTTCTGGATCTCATCACACAGACACTTACTGTCTCCTCTGCAGCAGGTCAAGGGGAAGCTGCACATTTTATAAATGCAGTGGGTGAAAGAATGTATGTCTTGTGCTGTTATTATGGATGATTGTGGAGACTGTTCCTAAGGACAATGTTTTTCTTCTTCTTTACAGGCAAAAACACAGAATGCTAGCAAAAGTAGCTGGTCATTTTGAAAAGCTGTTAGCTGTGTTTGCTGAACTGTGAGACAAACTGCTTCCTCTGCTGGTTAGAAAACCCACCAGACAAGTGGGGGTTGGGATTTTAAAGATGCAGCCTCTGAACTCTTGCAGAGAGTTGAATTATGTCACTTCTTGATGGGGATCCAGGTTTCCACTTGCTTGCAGGAGCCTTCACTTTTCACACTGTGTTCTGCACTGTATTTCACTTCAAAACTCAGTATTTTCCTGATGATAAAAATGAGAAATGTCTTTGGAGTGTCATTCTGAAGTGCAACAGCCCAGTATCTCAACTCCCTATTTTTGATGAAGACCAAGGATGTCTGAGCTGCTTTTACAGTTGTTGGAGACTGGAGCTCATACTTCATAGGCAAACTGTTTATCATTTCATTGTTATTTAACTAGTAGAACATGGTATACTGTCACACACTTCAGACATTCTGTGACTGTCAGTAAAGAGCAGTGGGATGTGGAAATGAGAGAGGCATAAAATCTCTAAACTACGCTCCTGAGATTTCCTGTTAGAGAGAAACAAACTTTCCCTTAAGCACTGAGAAAGGTAATGAGCTGGTGGTAATGATGAATATAAAGAAAGCAGCAACAGCAATTCTGTCTAAACAACCCAAGCTCCATTCCCTTGGGTTGGAAAACAAGGAAGGTGCCAACTTTAGTGAGAACCTCCTAAGTTTAGAAAAAGGGTTCACTGAGAAACCGCTGGTTCTCTGAGAAGGAACCAAAATGTTTCAGTGAACTACACATCTTGAGGTACTCAGCTGAAAAAGAGAACCAGAACCCAGGCCTTGGAGAGCCATCAGCATTTTCCATCCACATCTATTCAGAGCAGTGGTGAAAAGCCCACATCTTCATCACATTCCAGCCCCCACGGTTACTTAAGGCCCATGTCAAAGTCACTTCTGAAGGACTACTGCAGTATTGCTGGTCTCAGTGTAGGTCTGGGACAGCTCCAGCAATGAATGGCGGCTTTAAGCTGCCACTCTTCTCCCCCTTTAACCACGAAGACCACCTGTGTAGCCAAGCTCAAGAGCTAAGACCAAATTCCATATATCTGATCAGTGTTCATCAGTCTGTGCTGGAGCTCAGTAACTGGCTCTCAGAAGAACCATCATCTGCCAAAGGAGCAGCTTTTAAAACCAAGAATGCATATTTGTGTCAGAACTGTGAAGTGATACATTCTATATGCAAGCACTATTCTGAAAACACTACTTATTGGGCTGCTTTGAAGAAAGCAAGAAGTTTTGTTTCTAAATCCTGAGTTTTAATCATTAAGATTATTCATTTTTATCTATTTTCATACACTTAATTTTAGCCATTTGCACTTGTGAACCTCGCACTAGGGAACGAGCCAAAGGAAATGGAGCCAATGGTTTCTCCTTTATACATTTGACAGTGCATACCTTCCCCATCCTGTGACTGTGTCTCAATGCTGGAAGAACTTAGAACCGCAAATATGGCTGAAGAAGGCACCATGCAAAGCCCAGGTACCCCAGAGCCCTGATTCCATATCAGCTGGTGAGAGCCACTGGCCACGCAGACACACGTCCAAAAAGCATCAGTGTTCAGAACCTAGTGGGGCACAATTTGCAATGAGCTTAAAATCAGGATGAGAGCAGTGGACTGTTGAAGGGTTAAACATTTCCTGCCTTTAATCTGGAATCACGTAATGTGGAATGAATGTTTCAGCTCAAAATGTTTCCTCGCTCTGGCAGTGTCATGGTGGGAGGTCAAAGTGTGGGGGAGACAGAAAGAAAAAAGGGGGTGCGTGGTGTGGGGAGCCAGGGAAGCACACACACCCAGCAATGAGCAGGATGGGTTCTCCAGCAGCGTTAGCCCAGCTGGATGGGCTTTGGTGCAGCCATGGGCTCAGTGTAGGACGTTAGGGACTTCCTGCTCCAGCTGCCTCTGCTTCTCCCATGTGTGCGTGCTTCTGCTCTGGGCACAGTTCCCACGCTACATTGCAAAATACGCCTTGAGTTTCTCACAGTATCTCTGCCCAGACACAAACTGCAGCTTCGGCCCTTCCTGCGCCCGGAGGTGGCTCTCCTCTGGGGCAATGCCTGCTGTAGTTACGTTTCCTGCCGATGGAGGCCTTTTCCTGTGCGACCAGAATTGGTCTGTACACCAATGGGCTTTATCCAGGGCAGCAAACTTCAATTCAAAAACTTGTCAAATTTCAGACTACCCCAATTTAGCAGAGCAGCCCGTTCTCAGATGGCATATTACACAAAGCAGCACCAGCCTTGTGCATCTCACCTGCACACCTTCCTATGAGCACAAGGCAGTCAATAGCTTGTGACTGTCACTCCTTCTGTCAAAAACCATTCCTACAGATCAGTGTATCTCACATTCAGCTGTTTTCCCTGCAGTTTCCACCTCCTCTGTTGCAGGCAAGACAGTTTCCACACGATGAATTCTTACTTATTTAATTTCTTACCAATTAGCTTTAACAGCTTATCACTGATTCAGGACCTGAGGAAAGAAAGAAAAACACACACATGAACAGAAGGGAAGGGAAGGGAAGGGAAGGGAAGGGAAGGGAAGGGAAGGGA